TTTCAGCTATCAAAAGCTTGTGACACGAAACCCGATTCGGCTAGGCAAATTTCTTCCACGATGGTTTATTTGGGTCGCGCTTCGTTAGAAATTTACCTTTAATTTTCAGAATGTTCTTTACCATAAATCCTTACGGCTAAAAGAAAGCTTTATTCATTGATACCGACAACAGTCCCTTTTAGGGTGTAGCTAATTCTCTCGCCTGAAAACGCTACATGATTAACTTTTACCTGCGTTGATCTAAACGGTGAAAATGATTTGCAATATCTGTAAACTGATGTCTTTCACTCCACACTCTTTATTATTCTGAGTGGGTCGCCGCTTCTCACGTCATCGCTTCAAACTTACAAAGCTCCAGTAGGTTTGAACCAAGATAACTCGATTATTTCCATCTTACTCAACGAATGAAGTGGGAATATTCAACACTGTTTGATAATATTTTCCTGTGGCAGCGAATTTGACTCCGTTTGAAGCGTACTAGGTAAGCTAATCGCTTGTCTATATCATTTCGCGTTAATTTAGTATCTGTGGAAGTGCTAGTGTTTCCTTAAAGTTCATCACGTCTTTATCTCATTTTTTTCATCTTTAGTAAGTTTAACCTCCTAGAGCATTTGCCTGTGACGTTATAAACGATTTGATTAACATTAATACAATGGTGTCTCAGTAACGCAAAAAAGTGCCTGGCAAAGCTCCAGTTGGTTTGGACCTAGATAATTCGACTGTTTCCATCTTGATTTTGTTGATTAAGCAATGAAAATTATTTGCAATCCACACAATTTTCTTCTTAGACGTGCCTCAACAAAGTGTTCGTAGCCCTTGGAAACTCTCCGCACATCATGTCTTGCTGTTTTAACAATAGGGCAACATACTTCGGCGAATCATTATACTAAAAAAACCTTGAGAGAGAACATCTGCTTGAGTGAGGCCCTTATAATCATAAAATAGATTTATTTATAAAAACTCAGTATTTATAAATAAATCGATTTAATATCATAGCGGGAATTTCTCTGAAACACGTAACAAATACTATCCAAAGATTCTCGATCACGTACAAATAGATAAATGAAAACGATTTATAAATATAGAAAGAGTCCCCATGACGGAGAAATCGAGCCTCAGACCTTCGGATTTCCGCGCTCCGATGCTCTACCGCTGGAGCCACAGAGACTCTATGGTAAACAAGTCTCATTGCGAAGTTCATATGCGCGTCCTACATACTGCTAGTGCTATGATTGGCAATGTAGAAAGCGTCATGTTTTGTAAAGAATAAGAAAGATCTTTTTTCCTCGCTCGTGACTAGACGAAAAACATCTTTCTGTATTTCTTTACCGAGCTCAGAAATACAGCTACTCTAACAAGGCTATTCCAACACAGTCCAAATCTGTAAGTCGGCACGTGGGCAATACAGGTCTCCGAGAAAACATATTTGTCGATAGACTATAATGGTTGAGTTTCCCTGAGAAGATGTTGGAATATTTTTCATTGAACTAGATTAATCTCTAAATACTCTCAACGTCAAGCATCAGTATCTCTCGATTCTGAGAGGGTAAAAGGAAAACTTTTCTTTTTAGGAATTATTGATTGTCATCTCCACAACAAAATTTCGTTTCCTTGAAAAATGTTCTCACCTTTTCTCGATTTTTCCTAAACCAGAGACTCACACATTTCAATCATACATCCAAATCAGCTGGATACAAGCCTTCGTTCTTAGACTAAATATGTAGCTGTCTGAAGTAGTGGAGGAATTACGCGGTGATCGATTTGTTTGCTCTGAATCGACAGGAAAAAGCCGTCGGAAGATTTGTCCAATTATTAACGCTATTTGCCATTCTAGAACCCGTGAACCTGAAGTGTGCTATGTCAAATCACATATTCTGCGGCAATATTTCGATGTCAAATCGAGGGCTGACACTTTTCGTTGTTCTAGCAATGTCGTTGGTATATGGCACCCCCGGGAGGTACTCCCTTATAAGGGCTTAATGGGGACGTGCGGCCAGCTAGGGACTATGTTTTTCGAAATTTTTTTCTTAAACAGGGTATCGAATTTATCATTTTTGTCTTAATCAGGGTATCGATTTATCAATTTTTGTCTTAAACAGGATATCTTTTCTTGGAAGATAAACAGCAAAATTTTTACAAGCTCTAATTTTAATTAGTATTGAATTCTGTTGATTTTGGCATTGATACCAGGCACATTAAATGTCTTAAACAGGGTATCAAAAATCGGAATTCTGTCTTAAACAGGGTTGGAAAATCAGCGATATTTGTCTTAAACAGGATCAGGGATATATCGAGGAATATATCAGGAATATATCAGGAATATATCAGGAATATATCAGGAATATATCAGGAATATATATATCTTATTAACCAAGCGCGAGGGTCGTACTGGGAGAATATCGGCCCGAGGTCTTGACAGTACGGACAGAGCGCAGCGAGGTCCGTACAAAAAAGACCGAGGGCCGATATTCTTCCCGTATGGTCCCGAGCAAGCTTGGTTAATAAGAGATTTAGTATACGAATGAAGTTCAAAGGGACACAAGTGCGGTATCATTCGGGACCATTCGGGACAGTGCCCAGTCCAATACTTAGAGAATATTGGACCGGCAATAGAGCATTTTGATTGGTTGATTTTAGTTATTGGCCCTCTGACTGCCTGAGTCGTGTAACAAATCAGGAATATATCGAGTACCCCCTGGGATGGCACCATTTATGGTAGGTGAGATTTAAATAAATATTGGTAATACTTCCATGATTACCGACACGAATATAGAACAAGGTTCTACACTATCTGAATGAAAAAACAACGTTTGTTCCATAATACAATCGAGGAGATAATGTAGTAGGTGTAGCAGGTGTAGTTTAGTGTTGTGTGGTGTAGTTGGTGTAGTTGGTGTAGTTTGATATAGTATACGTAGTTGTAGTTTGTGTAAAGATAGGATTTTAAGTTATCGAATTTTTTGTGCTAGCGCTAAAAATATATGAAATTCAACGTAGAAACCGCGAGATTTTGCTAAGCTCAGCAAAGCGTAAATACTACCAATTCCCTTTCAGTCAGCCGTAAACAGTTGTTATTAGATCATAACTGTAACTATCATTATAGTGTTAAACTGTAACCGCTACCTGTCATGGCCTATTGTGTAGTTGTTATCCACCAGAGCTCTTCGAGAGTGATTAATCTTGAAAAATGCGAAATTCCTGCCCAGCCAATCGTTGTAGTAGATTACGTGATTCTTTAGATAATTCATAGCCTTACCTAATCCTTTGTACTTTAGGCTTAAATAGAAGTGTTTATTATTAGAGCTTTCTTTGGTCAAACCAGGTCAAGCCAGGTCCTAAGCCTTGTCAAACTCAGTTCGGTCAAAAGCCAATAAGTTCAGTTGCGCTTACAAAATAAATCTACTTTGGAGCCAACCTTGTTGTTGTTAGTCAATGTCTCAAGGATGGTCAACAGCCGTAATAGATTCCGGCCTTCCCGCAGCCAGCGAGTGCCCCTATGAAGGCCTTTTCCCAGAGGAAGTTTATCGAATTGTTCCCCGTCCGTCCGTTTATTTGTGATGGCAAAAAGCCTTCTTTTTACACTTGGTGTAGTTTGCTGTAGTTTGATGTAGTTTGGTGCAGTTTGGTGTAGTAGGCGTAGTTTGGTGTAGTAGTTGTAGTTTGGTGCAGTTTGGTGTAGTAGGTGTAGTTTGGTGTAGTTTGGTATAGTTTGGTGTAGTTTGGTGTAATTTGGTGTAGGAGGCGTAGTTTGGTGTAGTTTGGTGTTGTACATGTAGTTTGGTGTAGTAGGTGTAGTTTGGTATAGTTTGGCGTAGTAGATGTAGTTTGGCGTAGATTGGTGTAGTTTTGTGCAGTAGGTGTAGTTTTATCCCACGCTGTAACATCAACCAACGTTTCCGCCATATTTATTTTGGGTTATGTCTTGTTGTTTTCAGAAATGTTTCCAGGCTTTACAGCAATGATGCTGAGATACCAGGTCTCCTATTCAGAGACTTCATGTGATTTTTTTTTTTAGGTTTTGCCTTTCAATCCGACCGAACTACCTAATACGAGGAAACGTATTCGATGCTAAACGACGAAAAAAAAGGGAGATGGCTTATCCTTAGAACAAACAAGATCTCCACAACAAGGCATTCTTGACTCAAAATAAGATAACTTTTTTCGGTGTCGACCAAACCAACAGATTTTTGAGAACTGCGCCTTGTAGCTCACTTGTGCAGCTAGCAGTTTACTAAGATGTCTTCAGAATTGCATGATTTTCCTGCTTCGCTCCGGAACATATCTCCGCCATAGGTTAGCAATTTTCGATGTCAAAGAAGACATAAAGTTCAGTTATGCGACATCAAAAACTACTTAGGGATTGACCATTCTTTACCGTCCAGGGTTGGGTGGGGGAGGGGGGGATTCAGAGGATTATGGCTGTGTCACAATAGTAATAACAAGGAGTCCATCACTGAGAGCGTTCAACTGCCCTTTGTTTATGTCGCGGTGTTTTCACAAACAAGTCTATTATTGGTTTAAACTTGCCGCGAAATGGGATTCCCCACGGAGGCCCCTCGACCAATCACGATTAGCGCGTAGTTATTTTATAACTTGACTCGTGATAGATAATGACTGGTCCCTTCGCGGGTTAAAAGGCTTCTTTTACAGCGTACTCACAAGAAATGGATGAAGAAGGGGGCATCTTAAACGTCCCCTTTTATTTTCACGTTTTCACTTAAATCTTTTGTTTTCGCAGGCTTTTTTCCCATCTCTAGAAACTATCCGCTCCCAGAAAAAGTAAATTATTATTCTCCACCAGCTGTACGCAATGGAGAAAACTCTTCCTGTCTCCACAATGCATTTTCAGACATTGTGCTTGTAGTTGTGTTCAACTTTCCTGTCTACTCAAGTATTCCAACACTCTCAGGCCTTTATAAGAATGCATTTCCAACGATCATATTTTGTGGATCAACTGAGTCGAAAGAACACAACATCGAGTTAGTTCAGTCCATTTTCAAAGGATACTTCAGCTACACGTGCATGTCACGTGCCATGGAAAAATATCCGGGATACGAGGGATATTTACTCATCGGCGATGACGTAATACTTAACTACTGGAATTTAATTGGAATGGACCGTAACAAAATCTGGGAAGGGCCAAAAGTACCGATTCTATTAAAGTATACTCAGCCTGAAAATTGGTCTTGGTGGAATTCCCCCTATGGAAAGAGCACTTGTCAGAAAGCATACGATGATATCTGGAATCTATACAACTCCTCTACAACTGAAACGTTGTCGAACATGAGCAGTCTATCAGTTAAAGGGACTGTCCATTCCCGTAGCGTGTTAGGGAACATCAAAGGGTCGATTGATCTTTCCAAACAGAACAGGAACTGGACATTTCTTTGCCCTCGGGGTCGCTCAGACATATTTTACCTTCCTCGAAAATTTGCGGATGAGTTCAAAACACTATCTGATATCTTCTACAAGTATCGTACGTTCTTGGAAATTGCAGTTCCTACAATGTGTCGAATAATTGACAAGGAGGACAATTTTGAGTATATCCCTGGGATTTACATGCCCGGGGTAGGAGACAAACAGTCTGACTTCCTGTGGAAAACATATAACACCACCTTGGCGTTTATCCATCCTTTCAAACTACGTTACGAACACGATGGAGCCATGAATAAGGCATTGCTAAAAAGCTGGATCATGGAGTATAGTAATAGTTTGAGTATATGCTAAAGAAAATTTATTACATCAGTTTAGTCCAAAGATATGCAGTCATATGTCCAGCATCTTCTAAATTTTCGTGAGTTACTACGCCGAAAAATCGAGGGAAAGTACGACGGAAAGTGAACGAAAGATTTATCACAAGTGGCAACTTTGGTATAACCGACCAATGACATTGAATTTCGGAAGATATCGTCGTTAGCCTGAGATTCATATCTCCCACGGAGAATTTTTCTGTCAATCGACAGCTGGACGGATACATGTAAAATGGACGAAAAATGTTTATTAACGGCTGCCATCAGAGCTTCATAGAAAATAATGAGTTATTTAGTACTATATGGAGCACTTAAGAGAATGTTTTGTTTTACTAGCCCCAGCACCGAGATTTATTCCTTCTTCGCACATTAATTGACGCAAGTTAGCCTGAAAAGTGTTCATGCCCTATTGGTTGTCGACAGCTTGACCTTTTCAATAATATCAATAATTCAATGGAGCTCATGAAAAAGATAAATACAGTCTATGTGCCATATGCTTGGAGTGCGAAACTTGACAAAAAGCCTTACGATATTTGAAGGAAACTAACGCCAACAGGTAGTTGCATAAGAAAAGTGGATCTAGACAAATCTAACATGACCTACACGAGTAAGATTTATTAAATTGTTCTATATATAATAAGCAATGGCATAGTCATCGAGTGAAAATGAAGGAAATTACATCCATCATCTTGCTATATACTCCCATTCATTCATTTGTGAATCACAAGTGCAAAGCTTCGATCACTTGTACAAGATGTTTAAGTCTGAACAATACTATGAAATAAATACATCACAGATAAAGAAACTTTAGGGCAGACAAAACTACATCTCTAAGCTATCTTCAGTTTACATAACATAGTTTTTTTAAGAGATTGTCATGCACGATTAATCCTAATGACACATTAAAAAGCTAGTTTTGATTCTTTTGTCTCAGGTATGCAAGAGGAGTTCAGTTGCATTTATTACCACCTTTCATGTTGTATTTTGGCCGATGCCCGAGTTTCTTCTCCAAACATTCAAGGTACTGACCCTCAACACAAGCGCCATTGGAATCTGGCACCCATTTAATCATTAAATTCCTCTCATTATCTAAATTGAATCAGTGATCTTTAACAAATTTATCAATATTCAAATTTTGGTTTTTGTGTTCCGTGAACCGCCCTCGAATGTTGTTTGAATGACCCACGTACTGATACCTTCGCCCTCTAAACCTATGGTATAAATCCCTTTCGCTTCTGGTGCTTCACCGAGATCATTGGCGTAGGATTTCCAGCCTTCATTGATCAGACTTTGACAGATACTTGCGGCCATCTAAGGAGTAAGAAAGTTTAGAACCTCGTGAGTTCTGTGAAAAAACATCCTGTTTTTGGGTCAAGAATCGTCAGTGCTATGGACAACAATGTCATTTCAAGTTAAAAGGGGCAGGTTTCTAAAGAAACTGTGGTGCTACGTCGGTGGGAGTACCAAGGTAATTTGGGTTTTATCGACTGAGATGATAATGTAATTTGGCCACCGTGAAGAGTTTGAAAGCTGACGTTTCGAGCGCTTCGTCTGAGAGCTGAACCTCGAAACGTCAGCTTTCAAACTCTTTACAGTGGCCAAATTACATAATCATCCTAGTTGATAGAATTCAACTAACTCTGGTTAGTGAGACTTACTCAAAATACATGTCATGTTCGGGGAAAAAGAATTCAAAGTCACCAATCACACAGCTATGTTCTCAACGGTTTGAGCTCCAGGTGTTTTCCCATAAATTTAAACTGTTACGCTTACAACATTTTTTATTTGATTTGAAAAAGCCGTGTACTGTTATAAGCAAACAAAGGAAATCTTCTGCCAGCCGATGTTCAGAGGAAACTATGAGAGATGAGATGAATAGAGATCAACATCAAGAGATAAGGGGACTATATGTTTTGACGCCTAAATCTTAAGGATGAGTTACGCTTCGTGTCCATGAAACAAGCCCTTGTTTTCACACAAAAAAAAAACAGAAATTCACGCAAACAAACTGCAAACGTACCAATGAACGCCGCTTTATGAATTTTGTCAATGGAGGACGATTTCTTACTTCCCCTGAGCATGTCATTAAAGCAGTAATTATCGCAAAGTATTTCCGTCCCCTGAAAACAATTCAGTTGAAATAACTGAAGCGTATATCTGTACATAAATAGACAGAAGTCAAAAAACATAGGCTAAGTGCGCGAATTAAGAGCTTGCTGCTTTCCTCTTTGACGGAGAGTTAGCTGTTTCCAGCCCAAATGAACGACAGTGGCCCAAAAATAGATCAAATCTTATATTCTATTGAAGCTTAGTTCTCTTACTTGGACTGCGTTTTGTATAAGTTCAGAGTGTGCTCAGACTAGCTTGGTTTCGCTTTGAATATCGATCATGCAAAAAGCATTTAAACTCATTACACTAACTCAATAAAGATGAACGGCAAGTAAAAATACGAAGAGGAACTCATGATCGAGAACTACAGTGCAAATGAAATCAAACGGAGATATCTCACCTCAAACTCAGGTAATTCTGCGCTGTTTGCTTCTTCGCTGATTTGAATCTTCGCGCCGAAGCCCCAAATATATCAGTATACCACATGGCGATGTCCTATTTTTGACTGATTATAATGAAGGAATTACCTTACAAGTTGTTCATCTTTACATCAAGGGACATTTCCGTTCAAAACTGAAAGTGCAGGCTCAACAGATTCCTTTCAGAAAATGATGCAACCTTCTCCGATAGCATATTTTTAGTGTCGACGGCTGGAAAATTCGTACATTTTAAAGAATTGTGACAACAAGGTGCAATATTGCCAGTGTACTCCAGACGAAGGGTAAGTTTGAACTTGTCTGAAATTAGGAATTTGTTCATGCTTAGCGTGCGTATATCGAGTTATGCATGCACTGGAAAGTTTGGAAAGCACGAAAAAGCGTAAGAGCAGCATGAAGTGTAGCCGAGAGCTACTCTAGCTTTTTGAGGGCTCTCCAAACTTCCCACGCGCATCCATAACTCGATATACGCACAGTTCAAAGCATGAACAAATTCTTTTATAACAGAGCGACAACAAGGATCTGCGCGTAGTCGAACTTCTAATTCTGAAGAGAGAGAAAGCCAAATTGCTGTACCTATTTGCTACCATCAGTGCGTATTTGCGACCGTAGCAAATACTCATGCGAATTTGCTACCGTAGCAAATACTCACAGCGCGTACCTGCTTCCACAAATGCGTATTTGCTACCGTAGCAAATACTCAAAGTCCATGTTTGCTACCGTAGCAAATTCTCACAGTGCGTATTTGCCACCACAAATGCGTTTTTGCTACCGTAGCAAATACCCACAGTGTGCATTTGCTACCGTAGCAAATATTCAAAGTCAATTTTTACAACACTAATAAATACATGCTTCCGTTGAGAATATCGGGAATGGAATTTTGCTACTAATATCGATTATTTCCTTCACGCAATAAATATGCATCAAAACAACAAAGAAATACATGTAAATCTCAGGCGATGATATATAACTTAACATTTAGAGACAAATTATACAAGAAATGGCTCATTACTCGAAATTATGTTTTCTCAAAGAAGTATAGATTATATCGTATAGATATAGATTATATATAGATCGTATAGATATAGATTATATAGATTATAAGTATAGATTATATAGATTAGATCGAAAAAAAATTGTTTCCATCAATAAGATATATCGTGACGGCTTTTTACAATGACCTCTTGACCAAATCAGACAACACGAAAAAGATGTGGGACAATATTAATTTATTTATAAATAACAAGCAGCCGAGTTCTCATATAGAAAAGCTACAGGTAAAAAATAAACAATGCGATCAACCCTTTACTATCTCCAACTGCCTCTATAGTTACACTAGCATCACAACTGGCAAAAACTGATAGAAGTGCAACCTCTTATCTTTCCCAGAAACGAAAAAAATTTTAACTCAGCACAGGTCTCTGAAATAGAGGTATTTTTACTGCTAGAAAGTCTTGATGCGAAGAAGTAATTTGGGATTGACAAGGTTCATCCGCTTTTATTAAAAACTGCAGCACTGCAAATATGCCGTCCTTTAACTTATATTTTTGATCTTTCTATCAACCAAGGTATTTTTCCTAATAGTATGAAACTTGCTAAAGTTGTTCCGATTTTCAAACAAGGCTCTCGTTGTTCATGTAATAATTTTCAGTTCTCTCTTCCATTAGTAAAATATTTGAGAAATGTGTTTTTAATCAGCTGATGTCTTATCTTACCAATGAAAACATGATTTCCTCAAAACAAGAGAGAGATGATATAATCATGGCCATGAGAAAAGGCGAACTTACCTTAGTTAATGGTGTTGGCGGCTTACTCGAAAGCATTTGACACCGTGTCGTATTCTGTTATCATATAAAAGATGTGCAGAATGGGTTTCTCAAAACCCTTTTTGTCTTGGATGACAAACTACCTCTGCGATCGCCGTCAGTATGATCGATTTCAGTCACGTGACACTATTCTAAGCGACCGCCATATTGGCGTATATTTCGTGTCACAAAGTGTAGGCGAGAAGTCAAAGAAAACATGGTTTAATGTCTGATTTTTGGATGTGGTAACCGAACTGATCGAGACAAAGGCGTAATATTTTCAAGAGTACCAGTAGTAGTCCTTAATCAAGGAGAGGAAACTCAAAAACTTTCAGAATTGCGAAGAAATCTCTGGATATTTGCGGTTAGTCGGGCCGATCTCACAGATTCCCTCTTGATGATGATGAACTTTATTCATGTGTCAATTATAAAATAGCAGTAATAAAACCACTAAGTAAGGACACAACAAGATAATTTAAATAAAATAATAAATAACTAAGTATTAATATAAGATTAAATAGCATAAAATATACGAAGAAATAGCATAAAATTTGTGGTCAGCAGAATTAGGGTAAGTTATACACTGTGTGATTTTCGGAAAATAAATCTTGTATATAGCTTGGTGCTAGCTTAAACTTTACTTTATACATGATGGTCGCTATATCTTGCAATCTACGGTTCACTAGGGTGGGCAATTTAGCCCATTCTAACAACTGCCTATAGTTAGCGTTCCAGTCACGGAAAACTGCCCTAAGACCCCTCTCCTGGACATGCTCCACTTTTCTTGCATCACTTCCCCTACAAAAGTGCCATACAGTACTGCAGTAAGTCAAATAGGGCAAGACTGCAGCCTTATACAGCTGCAGCTTAGCAGTGGTTGGTATCAAGTTGCGCAACCTAGTCATTACTTGGATCATGGCCGAGTCTGTGGTAGACATTTTACATGCGGAATCGCCGCTAAACCTTGGGATAGGTACAATCCTGACTGGGTTCTCTCTCTCCATTTAGGACATGGTAAGAAACCCTCAGGAGAAAAGCTACAATCTGCGCTTGATGTCGCCGCAAAGATAGACTTCAGAGCTCGCACTCTCGACAAGAAGCGTGCTGATTATGAGCTACTTCACGAGGAAATTAGAGCTAAAAAGCAAAAACTTGATGAACCGGGAGCCGAAGTGGCAGATTTATTTGAATTTGATGATGTGATTGATGAGCAGAACGGTGAGGAAGGTACAGGAGTCATGACTCAAACCGAGGAGTTTGAATCTTTGTCTGTTTCAGAACCAGAGAAACAATTTGATGAAAACTGATTCAGAAATGACGACAATAAAGTCAAATTTTACACTGGTTTTCCTGGACTTGACGTTCTCATGGCTGTATTCAGACATGTTTCTCCACATGTAAACAGAAAATCAATGACCTTAACAACTTTTCAAGAATTTACAATGACAATTATGAAGATAAAGTTAAATATCGCATATTTTATGTCCTTGTACACTTGTAATAAAGCCACTCACTAGCTGGTTGTAGGCCTCTAGGCTACGAAAGTTCTTGAACTGTTCTTTTGTGCAATAGCTTGTCTCAAGGACTAAATAACACAGTATATCTGTGGATTATACGGGAGGAAGAAATTCCGGCTCGGAGGCTTTTCCCTTCAGCAGTACTGGGTCGATGCCAATGCACTGAACTTTGTCAAAATATCGCTTGTAAACATCAAAATCGAGTTTTTTTGCGTACTCCGACAAGGGTACAGAAGTTGAACGATCTGGAATCACTTTTGAAGCTGTTAAATCTTTAGAATTAGCTTTTAAAGCCATTAACATCTTACGATTTAAAAAAATTGGCGCGTGTTTCCATATATTTACATACGATTTGCAAAATGATATGTGCGCCAATATGGCGGCGGCTAAAGCGTGTGACGTCATGTGAAATCGATCTATTGACGACAAAAATCCGCTCTGGAAAGTCTGCAGTTTAATGCTCCCCAAGGATCTATTTTAGGCCCATTGTTATTTAACATCTATACTGCGGATCTGCAGGACAACCTCAACGACTCAATCTCGTGCTACCAATATGCTGACGACATCACCCTGCATAAACGATCCACCGTTAATAAACTCGTGCAAAATCTTGCCGACTTTAACAACTTTCTCAGTCACATGGCCAGCTGGTCTTATACATCAAATCTTTCCCTTAATCCGGGGAAAACCAAACAGATGGTGCTATCAACAGATCAACTGGTTCGAGTCCACGATCTTAAACATCAGATCACACAATTGGAAATCTCGAATCGCCAGTTGGAAAGAGTGAGTGAAACAAAGTTACTGGGAGTAAAACTTCAAGAGAATTTGAAGTGGAATGATCATGTCAAGGATGTGGCAAATGCCTCTTATGGAGTCCTACGTACACTTCGTAAGTTGAAACACTTTACAGACTTCAACCTAAGAAAGAGACCTGCAGAATTACTTGTGTTATCAAGACTCGACCATTGTGATTCCGTCTTTTCACCTCTGCCACGATACTTGCTGAAGCGCCTTCAAAACATTTAGTTTGCTGCCGCAAGTTTTGCTTATGGCAGATATGTTAATAACAATGGAGACATTTTAAAGCTAAATTGGCTTCCTATGGAAGAAAGAAGGGATTTTAATTTGCTGAAGTTGACCTTTAAAGTGCCTTATTTTAAACAGTGGCCAACATATCTGAACTTACAACGAGTCTCTATACGTAGAGAGCTGCGCTCATCAGACTGTATTAGGCTACAGGTTCCTTTAGAAAGGGGACCTTTCAAGACACCTCAGCCGTTTTATTTGATAATCTACCAAAAGAACTGAAAACCTGTGATGACCTTCATATTTTTTAAATCGCGTTTATTTATATACTTAAGAAACCGGGGCGAAGGCACGCCTTTAGTAATTTTAAATTAGTTTAAGTTTTAAGTGTATACAGACTGGAAAGTTTTCCTATTTTAAGTTTATGATTGTAAAGATTAAATAGGTTTTAGTTGATCCTATAATGTATTTAGTTAGTTAGAGACAGATGAAGAGCCACTCTGTGGAAACACTGTTAAAAAACCCTATACTTACTTACTTACTTACTTACAACATGGATTTAGATCAGGTTCTACATCTACTAATACGAGATTTCCGCATGACGTATCAGTCTCTTGACGCGATTTCGAGCAGCTTTATATAGGTTCCAAGTGTGTGACTTCTTTCTTGACCTCGTAGAGTTTGAGAAGACGGTAACGTTTGTTTTGTTCTTCCTTTACTTCATTGTTTATCCATGGGAGTTGATTTTTTCTCTTCCTCACTGGTTGAGATATGATCAGACACTATTCTCTGATAGAGGTGTTGCCACGCCCAAAGCTGATCATCAATGTCGTCGAAAGTCTCGCATACACTCCAGGGGGCGCTTTCGATGTCATCTCAAAATTTCTGCTGGTTAAAAGTTCTTGGTTAAAAGTTCTGTAATTATTCATGGTCTTAATCATCAGGGGGCTCTTTTCCTTTCTCATTCGTAAATTACCATATACAAAACTGGTCAGATATTCCCAAGTGGGACACACCAGCCGAAGTGATTTTCCCCGGATGGCTAACAATTATCAGATCGATCAATGTTTGTGCTACATCAGAAATTCTGGTCGGTTCTTTTGACACACTTCATTCCATATCATCTTAAAATGCGCAGGAGATGTCTGCCAAAATGGGATTCCGCATTTTCATTCTTTTTAAAGGACGATTCGGAATTTAGGTCGCTCCCAATTACAATATTTTTTCTCGTAGACCAGACCTTCTCAAGCGAAACATTGAATGCGCCATAGAAGGAAAGATCCGTTGGTGGCCTGTATACACAGGCAGTTAGCCATGTTTGAGATTGGCATTTTACATTAATCCATACTCCTTCGATGGTGCTTAGGACTTCTGCTCCTCGTATGCCGCTAAGGCGTCCTTGTAATACAATAGAACTCAGCCACCATTTCTGTCGCGATTGTTACGAATTGTGGTATATTCCTCGATTCCAATGTCACCGTAACGATTAAAAAAGCTGACGTTTCGAGCGTTAGCCCTTTGTCGGAGCGAATAGAGAAATTGTGGGTTGTGTGTGCTTTTAAAGGCAGAAAAGGGGTGATTGCCAAAGGGATGATTGTGTACTTTCAATTCTGAAGTGTCACATTCCCCAGGCAAATTTGTTAACTGTTAATAACTACATGTACGATAATATTATTTTTATCACTATCTATAACAATCATATCCTAACCTCATCTTTCAGTAATGGGACACTGTCCTGGTCGAGGAGATGAAATACTTGTTGGTGACTCAGCTCACATCATATTATGGGAGCAAGGTGGAGTTGCACAATTGGCTGGTGTACACTCACGGCAGGTGCACACTAATATCGATGGCACATTAGACTTGATGGATGTAGAGGAAAAAGTGCGTTCGCAAGGAGATGCACATCAGCCATTCAGCCGTTTGATTTGTGTTGAACAGACACATAATGCAAGTGGAGGCAGGGTGTTCCCAGTGGAATATTTACGAAAGGTATATTATCAGGGTTAAGATTCCAACCTTTTTTCCTTGATTGTGGTGATAAAAAAAGGTAGGATTTAAGCTGTCACTAATGAACCATATTTTCAACTAAAATTTACTGCATCATTTCAGACTGGTTTACCATCATTGTTTTGTATCTTCAAATAATTGGAAATTTCCAGCAAGAATTAAAAAGACAGTGATGGGAGGACATCAACTGATCTATTCCTGTGCTTCTTTCCTTTTAATATGCTAAAATCTGCAAATGAGGATGCTCTCTAAATTTACAATAAACAGGGAAAGTTGAAGTGGTTTTGAATTTGACTTTCAACTGATGTTCAGGATAGAATTCTCCTTTCTTGATTGGAAGGTAGTTTGTAGCAGCTTGAAGCAAGAGCCTCACACAGGATAATGAAGCCAAAGAGAGTGCACCTCAGTGGCAGGGAAGGCGAGGGGCACATGGGGCCCAGGCTCCCCTTATTTGAGTAAAAAAAGTAAACGTGGAAGGAAGAAAAGCCAGCACTGTGACACACATAAAAAATCATGCCCCCCCCCCCCCACCTTAGCTCAAGGTCTGGATCCACCATTGTACCTACATGGAAATTAAATAGGATTATTGTCAATTAGGTAGCCGGTATTAAAGGGGCTTTCTTCCCACAACTGTCATCTAAAGGGAGTTTGTATGGTTTATGGGGTACATTTCATATGTAGCAAGTGAATTTTAACTAGTAGCAGCAGTGCTGTAATGGGAGGGAGAGGCTAAATCTAAACCTACATTGCCACTTTCAATGGACCAACCTGAATAATTATGTTATCAGGTAAAAGAGGTTGCTGCAAAACATGACCTTAAGGTTCATATGGATGGAGCAAGACTCTTCAATGCTGCCACAACCCTTGGTGTTCCTGTTGCACAGGTCACCAAGCATGTTGATTCTGTCTCATTTTGACTTTCAAAGGTAACAACATAATTATTCTGTTGGTAAACACTGTTTTGGTGAGCATGATTCTCTAAACAGAAAGTTTGATTGCACCACTGTGATAATTAGTTTTGTCTCCTTGAAGTCATGAAGTGATCAATTTGTCCTGCAATACTACAACTGTAGTGTATGTACATTGCAGTGTTTGATTTAAGTGAGTGAAGAAAGAAAATGAATTAAATAACAACTCCCCACCTCTATCTCCCACATTCATGTATCTCAGTTCTTAGATTGCAGACAGTGCTCTAAGCTTGGATGCTTATAATTAAGATTAGCGATGGGACTTTGCCATTTCCCACACTCTGGTGGTTATTGAGTCAGCCCTTTTAAAACTCCCTCAATCAAGTTGTTATCTCCCTCTATGTACTTTCTGCCATAATATAAACTCCCAGGTAATTTAGACAGGAGAATTTTGTCTAAGGCACGTGAATTCTGAGTAACACCTCTTATTCAATATGGTCTGTTCTCATCGCCTTTTGTACAACCACATTTTGCAATTGCAAGGAGGTATTCATGTCAATCCCATACGGGAGTTTTAACGTTCATGTAATGAAGGGCTTTTTATTTTCTTTTTTACATTTTCATGTAGGGGCTGGGTGCTCCTGTTGGCTCAGTAATAACTGGAGATAAAGATTTCATTTCAAGGTAAAGAATCAAACCTGATTATAATGACTGAACTTTAAACAAAGCAGAGATGCACTTAAAAGAAAAATTCCTAGTGCATGATGAAGTTGAGTACTTAGCAGCCCAGAGCTTCCATTTAATAAACTACTTTAGTCAAACTTGTTATGTCCCGTCCAAATTGCTTTATATGCCCTGAGTAAAACTGAAGAAGAATTTAAGAATTTGATGAGCAACCAGGAATTAGTGATGGCCTTGAATTGCAGTCAATCTCTTAAACTTAAAATATGTTCCTATTCTATAGGTCGCAGAAAGGAAATAATTTTTAAAAGTAAAACAAAAAACAAAAAACACACAAACAGAATTCTAAGTTTGACAAGTTACAAACTCCATTTTCAGGTGCTTGTGTCACAGGAAAGTTCTTGGGGGTGGAATGCGACAAGCTGGTGTTTTGGCAGCCGCGGGGATTTATGCATTGGATAACATAGCACCAAAACTGAATATAGACCATGCTAATGCACAGATTTTAGCGAAAGGTCAGTATTGTATTTTATCTTCCAAAGCTCCTGAGATAAATTTCCAGCCATGTAAGTCTCTCATCACACATACTCCCATAGTGGCCAAAAATCAAGCCAACCAACCTCCTCCTCAGATTCCATTATTTTCTTTGAAAGATTTTTTTTAACAGTTTCAATTGGACTTAATTATTCTTATATACTATACTCATGGGTGGATTCCAATGTGAACCCCCTCCTCCCCTCCCCCCCTTAGGCAATAATGATGACTGTTCCCTTGCTCTAAGGCCACCGTCTCTACCAAGTGCCCTGAACGAAATAAGTTATTTGTTCCCCTTCTTGACTTCCAAGAAATTTTTAAACTTTTAGCTGTAAGGTAGGCCTTCTCTCTCCCTGCCCCCAGCCAAATATACTTAAGCTTTTCCACTGAGTTTGCTTAACTGGAATTCTTCAGAATCTGGAATATTTTTTTCCTTACAAGCTTCTCCATTATGTTTTCTTTTTTTTGCCAAATGAATGTTTTTCATTTACCTCGTCTCTTTCTAAAATTTCATCATTTAGAGACACGATTAGGACATTTCGAGGACATCGAGAGCGTTGTGTTCAAATTGGCTTTGAGGCTTTTCCTGGCTCTGTGCGCTCCGTCGGATATGACGCCTTTTGGATCAAATTAGAATAGAAGTTTTCAAACAATCAGTTCAGGATTTACTATCCTTGTCAACTTTGTTTCTACAGGAATTCGTGACATGAAAGATCTTGGACTGGATGTAGATCTTAATAGCGTGGAAACCAACATGGTGTACTTCAGTGTCAACCATCCCACGATCTCACACAAAGAACTTTCCAGACGCATGTTCAGGGTAACTGATAATGAGCCAATCAAAACAAGAAAAGCAGTTCTAATTTTAACTGCTCGGAAACGATCATTACGAGCAGTACTTCATCACCAAGTGTCTGAAGATGATGTGCATAGGACTTTGCAAAAACTGAAGTACATTCTAACCTCGTGATGCGTAGTGCTAAGGGCCAAACGTATTCAAATCCAAACTAAAAACAACTGAGAGAAACTTAATACATCTTATTTAAGAGAAATTTGTTGGTGTGTGTCATTTACTTCATAGAACCCAACCTTTGGAGATTTAAGTTGGAAGTCGTTCAGTGGCAAAACGGAAATGAACCAAAAAGTATGATGAACTTGCGGATTGGTGGTTTGGCTTTTACTCTTCACGTTCTTCAAGTTTTTACTACCGGTGTGTCGAGGCTGTTTCCCGAATTCCTTGATGTGGACACAAGGGGAAAGCGAGAGAAAGCAGGAGTTTTAAACGTTGGAAACAATACATCAGCATCACATATGGTATCTTTTGAGAATTCCGCTTAATCTTTATTATTACTAAT